TGTACTTTTAATTTGACATCAATTTTTTTTTGGTATTTTTCTTTTTTTTTTCTTTTATTATATATTTTAATATTATTATTATTATAAATTTCGATAACTATATAAAATTCGAACAACATTTTAAAATTCAGACAACATTATAAAATTGGACGACATTATAAAATTCAACAAAAGTAAAGTTTGTTTTTATTTTTGAAACAAACTGATACCATTAACATTTATTGATAAATTGCAATTCACCCTAATCATCTTGTAATGGTTAATTTACAATGAGCATATCCAATGCATGATGTTTTGTTCAAGTTTTTCTTTACATACAAATTAAAACATTTGGCAGCATGGGTATACAGTTGTTTGATTAAATGCTTTCAATACGCATAACACAGTACACAAATATAATACCGAACTAATTAATATATTTGTGATAAATAAAGATAAACTTTACTTTTGTTCTGTTTTATATAGTCAATCGAATTTTATTATGTCATCAAAATTTATAATGTCGTCTGAATTTTAAAATATTGTTCGAATTTTACAGTTATCGAAATTTATAATAATAATAAGATTAAAATAAAAAATAAAAAATAATTAAAAACAACCATAAAACAAAAAAAAAAGTTACATGAATTGAAAAAGAAGGATGATACTTATGACATTAGCCTATTCAGATTTATTAGAAAAAACTATAAAAATAAACATCTTTTAGGGATGTTTTTTTGATATATATATATATATATATATATATATATATATATATATATATATATATATATATATATATATATATATATATATATATATATATATATATATATATATATATATGCAAAAATCAAATATCATTTGACATTTTTAAAAATGAAGCCGTACATCTCTTTTACTGCAAACAGTAATTTCTTATTTTATATATCGTATTCTTTTTATTTAATGGTTTATATATCAATGTATAACTTCTTTTATTTCTATTAATTATTTAAGTTTAATATCTCCACAGAAAGGAAGACTTAGAGGGTGTTTGGCATAGATTTTTAAATGATTTTTGACTTTATTTTTTAGAAAGTCTCAAAAGATGTTTGGCAAAGGGAAAATGATTTTTGTAAATGACTTTTTCCATAGAGTAATTTGAATCATTTTGAAAAGTCATGATTACCTGATTTTTTTCAACTTTTTACAACTTTTCACCAGCTAAAAATATTAAATTACCAATATACCCCTCATCTACCCTAAACATATCTTTTTTTGTCATTTTACATGTAAAACTTAAACCAACACTTTAATTTTTGATTTTTTCCGTTCAAAAGTCAATCCAAACACATTTTAAAAAATAACTTTTGTTTTTGCCCTATTAAAGTTAAGTCAAACACCCCCTTAATAGTTGTAGTAATCATTTTTCTAGTAGTTATCGAGTTTTCGCTTTTATTGTCAGTATAGTTAGATTTTAAAAAATGAATACGAACACTTTTTTTTTTCTTGCAGATCTTATAAATATTTTTTCAAATCTTTTAAAGAAAAAAAAGGACAGAACAGATATTTTAAAACATGCGGTCTTCTAAAACATAATCTTCAAAATGTTACCAAAGGGCATTTGACTTTGACATAGCGGTAAGAAGTTATTCTTTGAAATGAGAGGTCATGGGTTCAAGTATCGTTAGGAGACATAAATGGTTTTTATGATTAAATTAGGAGTACAATAGTTGATCGTTTCAAACAAAAAAAATCTTCATACTGTTTGTCGACCCATAAGCAAAAATAAAACTTCATATAAAAACACAAACACCACTTTAATTAGGCCTGACAATCGTATCGTATTCGGGTTATCGGATCGCGGGTTGACGTATTAAAATATATCAACACAAACACAACTCATTAATTTATACATGTCATGGGTTTCCTTAAATAAAATTGATAATTAAAAATGAATAAATTCTTGATGCAAACATATTTGAATTTTACACACTTAAGTCTTAAATATCTTAATGAAATTTATAAACATTCATAGAAATATGTTCAAACTAAAATATTAATACAAATATAGATAAATTCAAGTGCGGTCGTCAACGTCGTTCAATAATAATGCAATCACTCATGTCGTCGTTTTTGTGGGATATTTAGATTATTTAAAGCAAACACCAAACGCGTTGCAATGCAAATCAGCAGGTGATTACCCACGAATCAATGATATTGGGTATCCTAGCGTATCTAACATATAAGAAGGTAGGTCTTATTACCTACCTAATATTTGAATTTCATTTATAATATAATATATATATATATATATATATATATATATATATATATATATATATATATATATATATATATATATATATATATATCACAAAAATTAGAAACTATCTTAGAAAAAATTGAAAACCTACATTGAATTTGTTTTTCTAAAAATGTCTTAAAAAACCATTTTAAAATGAGAAAAAAAATTAGTTATACGGAGCATTTGTGCTATTAATTATAATATATAATTTTTATTAAACAATAAGGTATCAGTGCTCTAGTAATCAACTAATTTTTCATTAAATCGTTCGGTTTTTTCAATTATATTTTAGTCGGTTTTTAAATAAAATTTAATTGGTAGTGGCTAATCGGTTTTTCCGGTTATATTTCATTAAATCGTGCACAACCCGATCCAACCCGACCCCTCACAAGTGTTGTTGATTTTTTTTAAAGGCTTCACTTAATTTGGGAACCACGTGATATTTTGTTATAGATTCGCCAATTTTATCCTAGGAGAAAGTGTAAATGTATAGTGCATAATACTTAATATATACACACACACACACACACACACACACACACACACATATATATATATATATATATATATATATATATATATATATATTAAAATTCTAAATGGGTTGGCGGGTCAATCCGTATACTTTTTGAGAAACTTATATATGATCTGTTTAATAATGGGTTAACGAGTTGGCGGATTGAAAAACTTAATTCAAACCCATTTATTTCGTGTTGTATCGCACGTCGTGTCGCTAATTGTCAGGCCTAACTTTAATAAATAAAAAGTTTGTGTTTTTTGTTTTTTTTTTGTCTGCAGATCTTTTTGGTCTTTTCTATCTGCTCCGCGCAGGCTACACACAAACATTAGTTTTTGCATACTATTTGTTTTTTGAAGACTACAAACCTAAAAATGATTGTGCGCCCTCTTCTTGACGCAGATATGGACAAGTGTTTTACAACATCTTCTAACCTAAAAACACATATATCTTTGTTTTTTAGTTTTTTTTTTAATTTCTATTTATTCCAACTTTATTAATTATACACAATTTGAAAAAAAGTTGTAATACTTAAAAAAAAAAGATTAAACAAAGTAAACATGATATTTTTGACAAATTTATAAATAAATATTTATTATAATAATGATCGTTGAAGTTGTTTATATAAATATGAAAAAAAATCATAATATATTCTTATATTTTTGTGTGCCAAATTTTATAAAACATTATTTAATACAATATTATCAATTTATTGGGAAAATATTTATGATACGTTTTTAATTGAAAAAATAGAAGTTTATTTCCATTTATTTATGTATCAAATTCTTTGATTGCTAATTACAATGTTTAGGTATAACTTTGTGACCAAAATTGTTGGTTTTTATCAAATATATACGTTAATTCGTATCATTTTTATTTTAACTTTCTATACAATAATACATAAAAAATTGATCTAGATTTGTTAATTGTTTTATTATTTATATGAAAGTCATAAAAATATTTTTTTAAAAAAATCACTTTGAAGTTTATAAAAAATATGTTTATTTAGATTTTAGTTTATTTTAATAGTCTACAAATGTTAAAAAAAAAAAAACAATCAGTTATCTTTTTTCAGACTGCATACGTTTAGATTTTATTTAGTAGTTTGTAAATGTTAAAAAAACAAACAATTTTTTTTTTCAGACTGCAGACCTCTTTTACTGCGGATGTTTGCAGATGTAGTCCGCAAACTACAGACATTTTGTCTCAGAAAAAACAAAGAACATCTTAATAATCTAAGAGAGTAACGAATTTTGGTTTTTGTTCATTTTGGGTAACCATGTTTGTTCGTACATATTTATCCAATAAATTTTTTTTATTTGTTCAAAATATAAGAATATCATATTATTGTCGACGATATTATCATATTTTGAACATATTAAACAGGTATGTTGTTCAAATGTGTGTGAATAAAACATGGGTATCTAAATATGAATAAAAACCAAAATCCATTACCCAAAAACTATTATGGAATGTTTATGTGTTAGAGGTATGTATTTTTTTTATTTACATTCTTAATATGTCTTATGTGTGATGATGTTTAGATCTATTAACATAATCTAAACAACATGACAACACTGCATGGGAGCATGAAGTGACAACACTACATGATAATACTGCCCGCTAGCATTGCATGACTAACCAGTTCTGATCCAAATAGTTAGGGGCTAGGTTGAGTTACCATGTAATGCTGTGAGACGGTGCTACCATACGGTGTTACCAAGTAGTAATGACATACTGTTATATTGTCTATATTTAGGTAACCATGTTTTTTAAACGTTTGACAATTAAGCTTATTTAATGTGTTCATAATATGTAATATCACCGATAATTACTAATTATATTACCTTATTTTAAGCAGATCAAACAAATTTGTCAAACGATTATGAAAAAACATAATTCCCTAAATATGAACAAAAACTAAAGTTTGTTTTTGCGTCCCATTATCCTTGATAACAACCTGTTAAAACAACTCAAACCTTAAGTACTTTTATTTTTATGTTTTCTCCTTAGGAAGTATGAAAAAACAAAAAATATCAACTTTCCTAGACTTTTATTTACGGTCCCTCAAAGTTTCCCCTCCTATATAAGCCCGTCGTTACCACCTTTGCCAGTTAACACCTTCGCATACATCCCCGAAAACTAATTTTTATAATTCCTAAAGTACCCTTACAGATTCCAATTTCATAAACCCTAGCAAAGATTTTTGTTTTCATGGAATCGTTGAGTAGCAAGAAACGAGTTCGGTTCGACTCGGGCGAGTCTGAATACAACTCCGTCAAGACGCAGAGAACCAGTGACAATCTTCTCGAAGTTCTCGATGATCCGGACTCAGACCTTGACTCGTTCATGAAGAGTTTCGAAAACGAAATACCTAAACTTCCTGAATCTTTCATTGACTGTGATTCCGTGTCCGGCGAGTCCCAGCCGGATCTCGGATTTCTCTTCGAGGCGTCGGATGACGAACTCGGATTGCCTCCTACTGACCTAACTCCGGTTGAGTCGGAGAAGATCGGAATTTCTGTTGAAGTCGGAGAAGTATGGGATCAGATATCTGGCTACGACTCGTTCGAATATGGATTTGGTTACGCCGGCGGAGATGCTACTGTTAGTGCCGCCTACAACGGCGGTGAATATGTAGCGTTAGACGGGCTGTTTGATTATACAGATGTAGGTTTTAGATCGTCGGAACCGGAACTGCCACCGCAGCCGGAAACTATGCCGGCTCAGTGAATAGTTAGGGTTTTGAGTTATATCCGTTGGAATATGTAAAGCTCTTCCTTTTTCTTTTTTTTTTTTTTTTTTTTTTTTTTTTTTTTTTTTTTTTTTAGTTTTTATGGAAAAGTTGAAATGGGATAGTATAATTTATATCCAATGATTTTGTCGATGCCTACTTAAGCTATTAGTACAAAATGATTAAAACTCAGTAAAAAGTATGTGATTATTTAAAAATACAAAAGGGTTAATTATATTTACTTGAAATGGATCCCCTTGTGAACGTAATGCTTTGCTAACAACTTTACGACGGTATTAGCAAGAGAAGTGTTTGACACATCACTAATTAGTCAAATACTTAACAAAAACATTGCCAAATGTAACGAAATAGTTTTGTCATTATTCAATGACATTTTGTGTGTTGGGATAATGATTTAAAAAGCTAACTTTTATATATATATATATATATATATATATATATATATATATATATATATATATATATATATATATATATATATATATATTGGTTTTTTTTTTCAAAAAACATCATTATGACCTTTAATTGTAGGTTTAGCTGGTTTCCGACGTGTTTAAAAACTCTGGCTATGCTCTGGTCATCTTCTCCGGCAAGGCTTCGACTTTCATGAATTTTCTGGCGGTATGAAATGAAGTTCATACAAGAAATCGAGCTATGTGATATTTCAGTTTAAGAACACACACAAAGTTTGGTCCATCGGTTTTGAAATCATAGTGTTGTTCCAGATCTGAAGTCCGTCGTCTTCAACCTCTTCATCATCTTCAACCTCCAACCCAGATCTGATGTTCATCGTCTTTAACCCAGATTTGATGCTCGAAAACTAAACGATCTCCAAGAACAAAGAAGAAATCAAATGATCGAATATCAGATCTGATGCTTGAAAATCAAATGATCTGATGTTCATCGTCTTGAACCCTAAAACCTAGTGTGTTCGTTGATTTCAGGAGGGTGTTCGTCTTCATCATGCTCATCTTTTTTCCCAAAAACCAAACGAGCTCTAGAAGTGTGTGTATGTCTTCATACTCGAATAATAGATCTGAAATCAAATGTTCTCCAAGAACAGAAAAGAAATTGATTTTGTGTGTTTTGGGTTCCTTGAAGATGAACACACTCACATGTGGAGGTTTTCCCAAAATCGAGCTTGAAGGTCTGACGAGCTTAAAGAAGAACTCGAGTTATGGTTTTCAAACCCAGAAATCGAGCTTAAAGATATGGGTTCATGTTTTGATCTGGGTTTGTGTTTTGATATAGGTCTGTTTTCTTCGTGTTCTGATCTAACATGCACACACACACACACACAAATTTGAAGCTCTTGTGTTCTTCGTATTCTTCGTGTTCTGATCTAACTGATACGTATTTGGAAGGCGTTTCAAACAACGAGTTTAGAGAAGCTGGATTACGACTGGTTCCAATAGCCATTAGTTGCGAAAGTCAAAATATGACTGTGATTCGATGTGAAAAGATATGATTGTTGGTTGGATGCGAACCAGTGCAATTGGGTGTGAACGTTCGCAAGGCGTTGTATTTACAATTGTATTGTTGCGAATGATGGATCACATCGGGTTTGGTTGGCAGTGCTCAATGCGAATGGGAGTTAAGGCGATGTGATTATGAATGGTTGCGATTCTTGGAGGCTGCCTGGTTGCGATTGGGTCCTCTCGGTTGCGAATGCAAATCAGACTTTCATGCTTTCAATTCTGACACATGCATGGATCAAAGTGGTGTCTTGGTGTTGGTTCCAATGAGGGATTTGTTGATTTCGATTCCAAAAACATCTTACTTTTCGGTGGACTACTCTTTACCAATGGGATATTTGGATGTGACGGTTTGCTGGTTGCTACTTGTTTGGGGATACAAATGCAAGTCTTGGAATGCTATCAGGTCGAGAGCTATGGAATGCGAATGGATAAAGTCTGGGCCGAGTGTTGATTGCAAACAAAGGCTAACGGGATGTGAGGGGTGCTTGTTGGATACAAAAGTAGGTGGGAATTTCAACGCAACCTTGAAAGTTTCATGCCTTGGAAGTTGTAACCGCCTTTTCCATTTCCCAAGACGTTACTTCCAAGACAAGACTTTTCTTTAAAACATTTATTTATTATTTTTATTAGCATTAAAATAAGTCATTAATTGGCATAGTTATTAGGAGTCTTTTGATTAGTTTTATCGGTTATTTTTGTAGGTTATATATGATCATGTCGATCATTTGTAGTAGGAGTGTTATATTGAAAATATAAAGTTGAACTCTTGTTCATTAGAGTTGTTGCGTACAACTCGAAATTGGTCTTTGTTGGGATGCGTTTTTTGATTCTAATCTTGAACTAAAGTTAATAGGTCTTAACTTGTTTTCACCGAACTCAAATCAATAGGTCTTGATTTGCTTTCACCGAAGTTTTAAAGTACAGGTCTAGTTTGATCTTCATACTATCCTTTATTATTTTTGTCATTTATCATTTGTTTTTATCTTTTGTTCTTGTTCTTTGTGTTATTCCGCTGTAAATTCAATTCTAAGCTTCAGTTTTCAAGTTAATTGTGGTGTTGGAAATTCGAGTCATGTTGTGGACTCTTGGAGCGGTCCAAAAACGCATCACTAACACACACACACACAAACTCAAGAACAAGATGAACAACTGATGAATCAAATAAAGATCTGAAGAACACGATTAACAAACACATCAAAAGCTCTTGTGTGTGTTCTTGAGTTTGAATAGAAGCAGGTGAAGATGAAGAATTGGTTTTTGGGTTCGAGTTCTTGAGTCTGAAAATCGAACACCCATATGGGTTTATGTTCGATTTTTTTTTTTCTGATCTAAGAAAAAGACAGGAGAAAATAGACCCGAGTTCTTGAGTTCGCCCGACAAATCATCAACGTCGGAAATTTGCCAGAGAAAATAATCGGAGTCTCATCGAAGTTGTCAAACACGCCGGAAACCGGCTAAACCTCCGATAGCAGGTCATAATGATATTTTTTTAAACAATTCAACAAGTTCAATAGGAAAATGCAGACAAAAATTAAAACTCAGTGATAAAATGTGTAAAAATCAAAAAATTTATTACCCTTTTAAATTATTATCCCTTTTTTTTCTTTGCTTTTTTTTTTTTTTTTGCTACATCTAAGAAAATTAAATTACTAGTTGTAGAAAAGGAGGGGGTTAAATATGCTTAACAAAACCAACAAATATGTTAGCCAAAAGACAACAAAAAAAGTTGATAGTCCGGACACTACAAACATACCAACAACATGAGTGTAATGACACTATAATAACAAAGGTTTGGGCCCACTGACAGGGCCGGCCCAAATAAAAGGCTTCCTGGGTAACTGGGCTACAATCCAGGGCAACATATAGCACAACAGGAATCAGTTTTCAAACAGCTGTAATGGACATATTATTTTTTGGACTCCAAGTTTGATCTAATTTTGATTTCAACCGATCTAAACTTTTTTGAAGCATTTTGATTCTTCTAATTTTTTATTTCTTCTAAACCAAATTTAATGAGGACTACATGTGGACCTATTTTCTTGCATGAGTTTCTCCTTTGCATATTGCGACTATGATAGGAAAAAAACTTTAGGTGAGTAAGTAACAAAAATGATGTAATTATCCAAAATCGATTATTCTAAACAGGCGATGCATTAGCATGAAAGGGGAAGCTATCACAATAATGTCATCGACATAGAACAATAAAAGGTGATGTGTAAACCTTTTGGCATAATAATAAATCGTATCACAATTGCTCTAGAGAATAATGCTATAAAATGGACTTAGTTATAAAACTTATAAACGGGCCTAATTAAAACCCAGTCCGTTATTATAACCTCAACCCCACACCACTTCGTCACTACACGCGCCTCGCTTCGCTTTAAATCTTACCGCGTGTATTCCACACAATACTCTACGCGCGTGACAACAACTCCACTCATTACACTCCATACTGACTCAAAGAAGACGAAGTCGTTGGGATTGCGATTCATTCTGTTATTCATAACTCTTTGTCTCCAACTTCCATGTCTCCGATTATCTTAACCCCAAGTTCTTTCGTCAGTCTGATCAATATCGTATATCTACTGAGTTGCAACTGTAGCGTGTAGACGACGCATTGAATGAAGATGAAGGTTTTCGTGAAAACATTGAAGGGGACGCACTTTGAAATCGAAGTGAAACTCGAAGACACGGTGCGTTTGGTTTAATTTTTTCAAATTCTATACGTGATTGATCAGATTTTAGGGATTTAAGCTTGCATTTGATCAGAAACTTAACTCGAGAAAGCTTAAGTTATGTTTCTTGCTATTGGATCGCAACATTTAGTGTTGTTTGGGCTTGAATTGGAGAGTTCGTAACTACGTTGTGTTTCTATCCTTGAAAATCTCAGTTTACTGATTGGGAATTGCAGTCGATCGATCATGCTTGAGCATGTTTAAATTTCAATCCCATTAGTCTCAATCACTGTAATTACAGACCTAGTTATATCGTAAATGGCTGTCATCTCATTGAAAAATGTGAAACCGGTTCTGATGCATGTGATCTTGCTTTTTGAATTGTACATTTAGTTATATGTTCTGATTTGATCAATCTAATTTGAGGAATGAAGTAAGGAAAATTCTGTGAAATAAAGGCAATCGTACAAATGGATTTGGAGTTTTCAATTCTTTTCAAATTAATTCCATGTATGTTGATTGAAAACTAATTTTGTTGTAGCAGGTTGATGATGTGAAGAAATATATAGAAAGTGTTCAGGGATCAGATGTATATCCAGCTGCACAACAGATGCTTATCCATCAGGGTAAAGTGTTGGAAGATGGCACCACCATGGAAGAAAACAAAGTTTCGGAAAACAGTTTTATGGTCATCATGTTATCAAAGGTAAACCTCCATTATTACACCTCTATTAATTCACATTTACTCAATGATTTACATGAATGCAGAACAAGAGCTCCGCGACTGATCCCCTTCCCACTCCAGTGGCACCACCCCCTCAGCCG